AATTCTTTGTTTTTACATTCATCGGTCCCCAATATGCCCAAATATCAAAGAGAAATAAAAATGCATGCCGTGGAAGAGTTCGGGTCTTAGGAGGTTAATTCTGTTGTGAATGACCATGACAGACCTGGTGACACATTTATGCTTTGCAGCATTCTTTATTAACACTCAGGGTTGCTGTGCATACACACACAGAGCTGCAGCTCTCCCGCCGCCGGCTCAACATAACCAACAACAATCACAATGAAGGACCCAGTGCCATATTAAGTTAGCAGGGTATGATTGCGAATGCCGTGCAGGGAAGGCAGACACCCCTGCACGGCCCACCACATCTGTATTTGTCATGGTTGCTGTGTGGCAGGCAGGCAGGAGTGGTGGACCCAAAATGCAGAACTCAAACACGGAAGTGAAACTAAAAGCGCAGCTTTATTGCTGGAGAAAAACATTGTACAAACTAAACTCACCAAAAGGAAACCAAAAGTCAGAACAGAGGAACCAAGGACTGAAACACTGGAAAAGAAAAACTAAACTGGAGCAGGAGCCTAAACACTAGGAACATAGAAGCAGAACACACAGCTAGTAGAGGGTACGACGCAACACTGACTCAGAGAAACACAGGGACTAAATACACTGGGAAGTAACGAGGAGAATGAGACAAAGAAGGAGAGCACAGCTGGGGGAAATTAGAACTGACGAGACAAGCAAAGCAGGACACATTCACATAAGACACGGACCTACAAAGTAAAACAGGAAGGATCACACAGAGACGCGAACTTGACACAGTGGAGACAGCAACTAAGAAACACAGAGACATAAACCATAAGGCAGAGGACTCGATGAACCGAGAGACACAGAGGGGAACTCAAACATGCAGACAAAGACTTACACAGAACAGAGGGGACACAGAGCAACATGAAGGGCAAGGGATCGAAACTAGAAACCATAGAAACTCACACCAAGTACAATAATACAAACACAAATACAAATACAAAAATCACAAAGAACTAAAACGCTGGGTCAGGGGACCCAGGACCCTGACAGTATTATGTTTTTTAACCTATTCCTGTTTTTATAATCTTATAAAATAAAATACTATAATATATAGCATAAGCTTCCTCCAGGCAGGTGTCAGTATACTTATCCATGTTTGTGAATGGTTGTTGCCAATAGTGACGTGAATCCAGACATCACACAGCTATTCTGGGTATGTTGAGCCTGTAGTACAACTTGAGGTACTTTAAATAGATTTTAATATAATGTAATGTAATAATGTAATCACTGCTAAGATACTTTGGTAGGATTATAACTTCTCCTTGAGCTAAACACCTGGTAAGATTATAATCTTTAAAACACAGCAAATATATTAGACATTGAATTCAATGATGTGTTAAAGGAGAAAAATAAAATGAGGAGAGATTCTCAGCTCTAACTGGAAATCGAGCTCCTGTATTTTCTATTGTTTTGCAGAACCCACATATTTCATGTCATCTGGTGGAGCTTTATCAAAGATGTGCCGGCTTCAGTGTGAAATATGATGTCGTTGACTAAATCACAAGAAACCCAAGACCCAGCCTGATTGTTTGAGGGATAATTGGATGCCAACTGAATCAGAGTAAACTCAGCTTCTCTGGGATCTTTAGAAAATAAGCTCATTATGAGACTCTGATGTTGAAACCCACAGAAAACAGAAGATGGATGCTGTGAAGATATTCTGCTGGACTCTGGGGTGTGTCTGCCTCCTGCTGCCTGTAACTGCAGGTGAGATTTAAGTGTCTTTGTAAAGTCAGGAGCACCTGCATCACCTGTGTGATAGAAGGAATGTTGGCCAATCACAAGCTAGATATAGTCTGATGTCAGAAAAGGAGTTTAAGGGGAAAAAGTGAAACTTTGATTTAATGTGTGACATTTATTTATTAATCTGGTTTCAGGTTAGCCAATCAGAGGACGGTGACCTCTTATCCTCTCTCTGATTGGCTGCTGTAGAGGCGAACAGTTCAAACTTTGACCTTTAACCTCTCTGTTTTGTGTTGTTACCTCTTTCAGATCAGAAAATCATCACAGCCGAGTCTGGACAGAACGTCACACTGCCGTCTCGAGCTCCAAATGAGAACAAAACCATCACAGTAGTAGAGTGGAGCAGAACTGATCTGGAGTCAGAACATGTGCTTTTGTACCGAGATGAGCAGTTTGAACCAGAAGAGCAGCATCCATCTTTTAAGAACCGAGTGGATCTGCAGGACAGACAGATGAAGGATGGAGACGTGTCTTTGATTCTGAAGGATGTGACGACTGCTGATAGTGGAACATATGAGTGTCGAGTCTTCATGGGAGGGAAAGAACGCAGGAAGAGAGCTCATCTGAAGACTGACCCCATCAGCAGCATCTACCTGAGTGTTGTTGATCCTCCAGGTGAGTGAGTAGAGTTGAGTGTGTGTGTGATCAGAGGTGAAGCTGCTTCCTGGTTGTTGATGTTTGTTTCTAAAGATGTTGTTGATGAGACTTTGTAGAAAGCAGCTGGTCTGAGTGATGTGATCAGAGTGCAGTAGATAATGTCTGACAGCAGTTTGAAGAGGAAATGGATTCTGTTCTGTTCTTCACTCATCACCTACCTGACAGCTGACACCTCACACCATTTCTCACCTGCAGGTCAGACAGAAAGACGTGTTGGACTGATGCTCAGTTTGTCAATTGTTGCTGTGCTTGTTGTTTCTGCTGTTGGTTTTCTGATCTACAAAAAACATAAACAGCAGAATCATAATTAATCCCAGCCTTCTCCTGCTGAACAGTGTGAGGTTGAATTGTCTCCAAGCACAGCTGTGAATTAAGAGTCTCCTGCTGCTGTTCCAGTTTCTCAGAGGTGACACAGATCATCCAGTGGAGAGACACATGAGGACATCCTGAATTTGTTGTTCAGCATCTTTGTGAAAGTCTTGAACATTTTCCTTTGGACATGTTGGACTTTAACTAAAGATGTTTTCAGTCCAAAAGTCTTTTTCTTCCTGTTGTTTGGTGCAAAGCATCGATGATCATCTCAGAAAACATTTTCATCTGTAATCCTGGTTTCAGGTGAAAGTTTGTCTTTAGCTCCTCACTGTCCTGATGAGCTGCATGAACACCAGCTGGAAGTCAGTTTGTCCATGAGACGTTTGGACTCTTTTTCTTTTATAAAACATATAAAACATGTAAATTACAGACGTGTCCTGTTTCTACTGTGAGTGTCGCTGTTAGCTCGTGACCTCCTGCTGAGCTAAAGCCTCAGACTGTTTCTGTAGTTTAAATAGACGACACATCATTCATACATCAGTGTGTGTTCATTGTATGCAGCTTTTATTTATGTCAGTTTGAACACTGCATGTACTGTGAAACTCTTTATTTATATTACAGATTTTTTTTCTTTTATGTTATTATTAATGATGAAATGAGTGAGTTTTTCTGTACAGAGGAATTTTCTTTGATTAAAAACTTTGTGAGCTGTAGTCTGATGTTGTTTTCTGAGCATTTCTCCTCCACTCTGCTCTTTCTACTGAGAAAGTCTTTAATCAAGTTTTTTTTTCTAATGTTTTGACTGTAAATAAATTCTTCAGATGTCTGCTGTTGTTTCCTGAATAATCTGATCTGGAATCAGTCCACAGTGAACAAAACACACTGAGCAAAAGTGTAATCTGAACTAAAGTCAAATCTTTAAACTGAACCAAGAATCAAACTGCAGGAAAACCTGATGGAAAACCTGCTCACTGACCTTCTCTCACTTTAATCAGCACAGGGTGCGATGTAGACAGCAGTGATGATTTTTTATTTTTAGCCTGGCTCTCAGTCAGCTCAGAATAAATAGATTCAAATGTTTGGATTATTAGCCTTCATTGTTGGTGTTTCTGCTCACAGGTACAAACTACCATCAGTCTGCACCATTAAACAGACACATAATGAACTTGCATATATATAAAGTTCTTTTCTGTCTCACTGACAGCTCAAAGTGCTGTTGACTAACCACACACTCATACAGCAGCTTATTCTGTGCATTTCAAGCACCTCACCTACCTCACATACATGACCCACCTAGAATCACCAGTTAGCGACACATAGTGTTCACACGGAGGAAATACAAACCTCTTCTGTCATGTGAGAAAGTGTTAGTTTTTAGATGTACTAACACATATATGATGTGTTATATGATATCATATATGATTTAGATGTACTAACACAGAGTCTGCTGTTAAAGAAACAGTTTATAACTGCATTACTCATCCTGACCTGCAGAGGCAGCAGTTAGTGCTGTCATTCACTTTAAAGCAGTATCAAATAAACAAGGACAAACTGCTGTAAAGATTTATTATTATAGACTCATTGATTCACAGTTCTTCTCAGATATTTATTTGCTTAAAATTTATAAACCACATATCATACTAATTTACAATTACTTTGTGTTGGTCTATTGCAGAAAGTCTCAATGAAAACATTTAGGTTTGTGGTTGTAAGGCGACAAAATGTGTAAAAGTTCAAGGGATATGAATACAATGAATAAAATTAATGAATGAATAAAGAACCATGAACCTATATTTTCAAAGCACTGTATATGCAGTGTGTGATCTATTATAGTTTTATTTAGATTTGCACCGATGACAGCTGCATGTTAATTAGTCACAATGACTCACATTTTCTTTCAGTGAAACCCACAGAACTGCACAAGACGAACAAGTGAGACCAAAGTTTCCTGCAGATCTGCAGAGATCATTGCTGTGGGGAGGACGGCACTGAGTTACTGAGTGTCCTCCATACACTGCATCACATTACATTCACATATTAATTATAATACGTGTTATATAAGTATGTTTAATGAAAAGATCAAACATAATATATATAAATCTGTTTTCTTATGAATGCCCTCTGGTCTGAGTGCCTGTGTGAACCAGCAACAGGATTCCAGTGGTTGGACTGGTGGATTACTTCATGAGTAGATGTCATTTTGGTCAGATGGAAACTCTGAAAACACAAACAGTGTTCAAACAATAAGAGACCAGTCACAGTTCAAATAATATAAAGGTTATTCAAGGGCAGATCTTTAGCGAGGAAACAAAAAACTCTTACTGAAAGTTTTACAGCCAAACTTTCACAAATAAGGTTTTAGTGTGAATGAGATTTTGGTTTAGGTTGCAGTAGATGCTGCTGCAAAAGTACAGAATAGGACACTTTACCAGAGTCAGTGGATGGAGGAGTAAGTGAAAGCAGCTGGAGGAGCAAGCTCTCCTCCAGCTGCAGGGACAGATGAGCAGTTCTTTAGATGTGTGTGCAGGTTTGTTGAGCCTGCTCTCATGGATATTTTCAAATTGCAAGTTCTGCACTAAGCTTTGCAGTCTCTAGTCTAGCTGCTGTTTCTGTTCTGCTTTCACTCATTTCTTCACTTTTTCCTAATCAGCTTGCATTTAAATCCAGATTCCCCCTATGGTGCTCTGTCTGTGTAGCTGGCCTGAACCACTACGTTTGCTGTCTTTAGAGCTTCTGCTTCCCCCTTCTGTCTTTCACATAATGGTAAAAATGTCTTTGAATATGATTGGCCAGATGGTGTGCCACAGGAGCAGCTAAAAGATCTTTTCTAGTCATTACAAAAAATACATTGTCTCATTTCAGAAGAACACATTACTGCTGTGATTTAGAGCATCAGTGTTATTAAAACACATCACTGAGCTGCACTCGTACAGCATTGAACATATAAATGTCTCCTGTTTCGTGTTCAATGCAAACTCACAGAAATTAAAGCAAAAATATGAAAATAGTTTCTACTGAGCAGCTTGAAAACAAATATTTAAATGAAGTAAAGAAAATCCAAAAAAGCTGAAACTGACCAAAGAGTGAAGGACGAGTAGGCAGTGAACTCCGGCCTCCTTTTTGACAGCCTGCGGTTTTGTACTTTCACCTGCTTTCACTTCAAACCATTCACAAAGTTCACACCACTTCCTGTGTTCACACTGAACGCTAACATGGGTCTCATAAACCATTAACTATGAGCATAAAACCTGAGAGCCTGGCCTCAGCTTAAGAGACCATTTCATGAAGATTTATCTTTAACATAATCATTCAGCAAAGCAATTCACCCACAGCCCAAAGCAAGAGATTTAGTCAACTTTTTTGGTCATCATTAGATAATACGAAGCATTTATATGAAACATTATTTACCATTTCTGTGTGACGGGACTTCAGGCAACCATTTATTTTCCAGACTATGAATTACGTTTGATTTTGTTGGTTTTCACTTTAATTTTTTAAATTTTCCTTCAGTCCCCAAAACGAAACAAACACTTCAGAGTTTCCAATTGATCCAAATTTTTTCAGCATCAGTAAAGCGATCAGCATGGTTGTTCACCCACACGATAAAGTTGATGACGTTGATGACATTGATGATTTATGAGGTTTAGCTGAGTTAGAGGTTTGCTTATAAACGATGTCCTGTCTGGAGTATTTGTGAAAAAATTTAAACAGGAAGTATTTCATTAGCTTAACTAAATTAACTCAATATTAGTGACATTCAGAGGTTCAATGAAGTCGGTCTATACCTGTAATGCAATGTGGTAGCTAGCCACAATGCTATGGTTAGGCTAATTAAGTGAAAATGGAAGTAGACTTGATTTCCTTTGAATAAAGAGCAGCTGTACCTCTGTGCCTGTTTGGTCTGATTTCTCTTTGTCCATGAGTGATCTTGTCTCTTCTCACTGATGAATAGACTGTAGCTGGATCACACTCTGCACAATAAAACACATACAGAGGTCATCAGTGCAGATAGTGAAGCTTATAAAAATTGCTTTTGTTCTATACAAATATGCAACATCCGGTGATTACAGATCACTGAAAAACTTTATCATAATTTTCTTTGGTAAACTAAACTAGACTTTGCTGGGAGGAAATAGTGTCTCTCAGGTTGAGTTCAGAGTTTAAAAAAAAAGAAGCCCCCTAAATGAAAGAGGATGTAGATAAATACATGTACAGACTTCTTGTTTCTAGAACGAAGCCTTGGTGCAGCTGCCATCGTGCTCAGGGGGAGCCAGTTTTCTAATTAAGTGAAGATGGAAGTAGATTTGATTTCCTTTGAATAAAGAGCAGCTGTACCTCTGTGCCTGTTTGATCTGATGTCTGCTTGTCCACAATTGATGTTGTCTGCTCTCACTGATGAGTAGACTGTAGCTGGATCACACTCTGCACAATAAAACACATACAGAGGTCATTCTTAATTGCCCCTTGGGGATAAATAAAGTCTCTCTGATTCTGATTCTGAGAGTGTGAAGCTTATAAAAGTGCTGTCGGTATTCAGGAGGTGTTAAAATAATTGTCTAATGTTGTCTATTTAGATGATCAACATGCTTCAATTACAGAGCGCTGCAAGGGAACAATGTTATTCAATTCAATTTTATTTATATAGCGCCAAATCACAATAACAGTCACCTCAAGGCACTTTATATTGTAAGGTAGACCCTACAATAATAAGTACAGAGAAAAACCCAACAATCATATGACCCCCTATGAGCAAGCACTTTGGCAACAGTGGGAAGGAAAAACTCCCTTTTAACAGGAAGAAACCTCCAGCAGAACCAGGCTCAGGGAGGGGCGGCCATCTGCTGCGACCGGTTGGGGTGAGAGAAGGAAGACAGGATAAAGACATGCTGTGGAAGAGAGACAGAGGTTAA